CCGAGGGTTGTGATCCCGTTACCGGTCAGTAAAAAAAAAAAAAAAGACAAAAAGGAGAAAAAAAAAAAAAAAGTTCATGGAAAGATTCATATTATCTTTTAATCTATTTTTACAAGAACTTTTGATGTACCCTCATATAATACTATGTGCTAGGTACTGTTCTAAGCATATTACAAATACTAGCTCATTTAATCCTTATGACAACCATGAGATAGACATTATTCTCTCCATTTTTTTCAGACAAAGATGCTTCAGAGAGTTTAGTAAGTTTCCCAACGTCACTTTATGTTTATGCAACATAAACGTGAAAAACAACTAATTAAAACACATTTTAAATAGCTAAAAAATTCTCCCACTGATATGAGGCAAGAAAAACTGAAATAAAGTTTATTAACAACACAAAGGAAAAATAGAGAAACGATATTCTTATAATAACAATTAGCGTTCCTTAAAGAGACATTTGATTTTTCAATAAAAAATTTAAACATCTGAGCTATTAACAACCTGAAAAAATAAACATACTAAGAATGGTAAGCACAAGAGCAATCAATGGCTAAGAGGGAAATGGAGGTAGCATTCTTAGTGCTTTCTTAGGCCTAGAATTCCAACGCAAAGTATCTTTTTGTACATATGTTTTATTCCTACACATCCATTAATTCAACATGTATTTACTGAGCACCTACTTTGTGCCAGGTGCTATTCCAGAAGGTAAAGAAAAGCAGTAAACAAAACAGACTATGTCCTTTTCCTCATGGAGCAAACATTTTGTTGAGGAAAGAGAACAAAGAAAAACACAGAAGAGAAAACTAGCATATAGTGTTTTTTTAAAAAAAAGGTCAGGAAAAGCCTCACTAAGCTGACATTAAGCAGACAGCTAAGGAAACAGGAGAGTCGCACAGGAATCATGAAGAAGAACATTTTAGGCAGAGGGAAGAGCAATTGCAAAGGCCCCGAAAAGGGCATTAGAGGGGCAAGGAAGCCAGTGTGCTGTGGTGAACTGAGCAGTGAGGGGAATACTTCTAGAAACAGAACAGGAAAGATGGTGAGAGGACAGACCACATGGGCCCTCGAGGACAAAGTCAGGCCTACAATAAGGGAAACAGACAGAAAGTTTAGGGTGCTTTGAGCAGAGGAATGACACGATCTGACTTTATGCTGGCTGCTATATTGAGACTATGGTAGCAAGGAACCAGAAGCAGGAAGATCAACCTATCCATTGCAATACTCAAATGAGACACAATGATGGCTTGAACCAGAATGGCTGTAACACAAGTGTTCAGATCCTGGATATATTTTTAAAGTACGCTGCAGTAGGATGTGAAGTAGCAGAGAGGAGTCAAGGATGATTGAGGTGTTTGGCTTAAGCAACTGAAAAATGAAGATGGAGAATATTATAGAAAGAGCAGGTTTAGGGTAGAAATCAGAATTTTGGTTTTTAGACATGTTAAAGTTTGAAATGCCTTTGGACATCTAAGTGTAAAATAATATATTGAGCATATTATATTCTAGAGGTCAGAGGAAAGAGCCAAACTAGAGATGCAGTTTGGCAATTATCATCGTATGATCTGTATTTAAAGCCAGGAAACTGGATGAGTTCACCTAAGAAGGAAGTGCACATGGAGAAAAGGTCTGACATATTGCATAGTCAGAGGTGAGGATGAAAAAGCAAAGGATACTAAAAAACACCACCTAGAAAACTAGGAAAATCAGAAAAGTGAGGTCCTAGGAGCCCAGTAAAAAAGCATTTCAAGAATAAAATAACAGAGTCAAATACTGCCGATAAATCAAGTTAGTGAATAGTAAGGACTGACTAATAGAATTAAGCAAAATGAGGCTTGTTGGTGCCTTGACAAATGCTGCTTTGGTGTGTGAACTTATAAAACTGACTGGAGTAGTTTCAAAAAAGAAGAGAAAGAGAGAAATTACAAAGACAACTGGAAAATCAGAAAAGTGAGGTCCTAGGAGCCCAGTAAAAAAGCATTTCAAGAATAAAATAACGGAGTCAAATACTGCCGATAAATCAAGTTAGTGAATAGTAAGGACTGACTAATAGAATTAAGCAAAATGAGGCTTGTTGGTGCCTTGACAAATGCTACTTTGGTGTGTGAACTTATAAAACTGACTGGAGTAGTTTCAAAAAAGAAGAGAAAGAGAGAAATTACAAAGACAACATTTTTGAAGAGTTTTTCCTGTAAAGGGAAGAAGAGAAATGATATAGTAACAGCTAAATGGCTTTCTTTGGCTTAGCTGTTACTAAGAGTTCAAGTGGGAGTAAAAACAAGGATAGGAAAGAATAGGGGGTGGGTGCTCTAGAAACGTTAAACAGTGTCAATGAAACAAAGTAGGAAACGAGGAGATCAAGGAAGGAGTCTGGGAGTCTAAGAGGGAAGGCTGTGGTAAAAGATTCTGGTGAAGTGCAGACTCTGGCCAGTGTGTTGAGAGTACACAGTGTGTTGTTTCTGTACCAGGAAGGAGTAACCATTTTTGAGCAGGCACATACCATCATCAGAGTTGCAAAGCTACTACTAGTTTGCTCTAATGCACCAAGTCACGACCAGCCAGCCCTTCCTTTTTCTATTCTTCCCTGGGATTTACTTCATATTAGTGTTTATTAAAATGAACTGTATGTTGAGAGATGCTATAAAATCAGTCCAGGAGAACTAAAAGTAGAAAGGAATATTAGCAATGAGAAGTCAGTGATAAGAGACAAGGAGAGGCCAGTATGAAACAGCTTCACCAAACAATGTTAAATAAAAAGCCTAAATAGGACACAAGAGGCAAAGGAAATTACACATAAAATCTAGACAAGAATAATGAGCCTGAACAGTAAGAGAACTTATAGGACAAAATGATTTTATGATCTTAAGCTTAAAAGAAATCATTTAATAAAAAACAGATGATTTCTAAATCTAAGTAAAAGGAAAAATATCACAATCAAATTTAAAATATACAGAAAAAATGCTTAAAATTTGGCACATTTTTAATGTCTCCAAATACAAGAATATACAAAATGAGAAGTGGTAAAAGACCAAGAACAGAGCTGAGGGGAATACCACAATAAAAGGAGTAGGAGATGAAGAAAAGCCTACAAAATAGGCTGAAAAACAGAGAAAAGGTAGAAAGAGAACCAAGAGAATGGTGCCATAGTAACAAAAAGAGTACAAAGTTTCAAGAAAAGTGTATTTAACAGTGTCGAATGTCCAAGAGAAGGTAAATACTTATATAAAAATATATGCATATATCCATTAGATTTGGCAATAAGGAAATAACTGCAAAATACAATTAATATTTCCAGGACCAGACAGTAAGTCAGGGAGTGACTGCATAATCACTCCGAGGAGGAATTTATTTTTAAGATGAGAGAGACAAATCAGTGACCTATCATGTTTAAAAGGGAGAGAAATCAACGGAATAGGAAAGTTTAAGGCTCAGGAGAGGGTTAAAATGGTTTTTTAAAAAAGCATTGATAAATCAGGCAAGAAAGTATGCAATTCAGAGCACAAGCAGAAAAGCCTTAGATAGAAACATTTCTTCTGCTGAGATGGGGCAAGAAGTACAAATGCAGCCATGGTGTGGGGTAACAAGAAGATCAGTAGTTCAGTAGCTTCTAGATCCTATGAAGAGAGGAAACAAGACCATCTTTATAGGAAAGGAAACTATAATTCCTAATTGTCTTCCTGGGAGCTAGACACTTTCCTAGGTACCACTGCTGAGATTATCTAATGTAAGCCAAAACGAATGAAATTGAGAGGAAACAAGACCATCTTTATAGGAAAGGAAACTATAATTCCTAATTGTCTTCCTGGGAACTAGACACTTTCCTAGGTACCACTGCTGAGATTATCTAATGTAAGCCAAAACGAATGAAATTAGTCTAAGTATCTGATGCATACTAGCATTTTAACAGCATTTTACTAGTCTTTTCTACATTAAAATAGTATGTTCAATTTTTAAATTTAGCATTTGAACCACTATTTAAACTGACAAAATTCTTCACACAAAAAATCACCCCTTCAAAATGTTTACAAGTCAGCTAAAGTTGACAGAATATTAAACACACTCAAGACTTGTCAATATCCTGTCAACACCCAAAATAGTCTAACTTCTTCCACTACTCCAACAACTTGAGCTTCAGCAACCTATTCTTGAAGACAAAAACATGGACTTTATCATCACCTGCACCTGTTCCATTAAACTCTAATTTCTCACTCTTACCACAACCTCCTATCCTTCCAAGCATATCGTACCTGTTATACCTGCTCTCTAACTTCATCACGGTTGATCTAAACATTTTCTCCCAGGCCTCACTCTCTTCAAACTATTTTCTCAACAGCACCCTCAATTGCTTCCCTCCTCTTTTCCAACTGTTAATGCCCACCCACTCTAAAAAATTCTAATTTGGTATTGACCTAACGATACTCATCCTCCACTCACATCTATAAATAAACAAACATTATTAGTGAAAACTCCTAGAGCTACTGTAGGTGTTTGTATTTCAAGTGGACTGTGAGTCAACTTCCTTTCCCATTCTTCTCGGCAGCTAGTCTATCCTCTGAAATAGAACAATTCTCAAACCTCCTAACCAACTCCTGAAGCCCTTGTTCTCAGTACTTGGATTCACCTACTTCCAAGAAAACTGACATTATATCACACAAATTTAGCTGAATTTCACACCACCTCTTCACAGGACATTGTAAGTCACATACTTTATATTGCTAAGCCAAGTGACTGGGAACACAGGCTGGAAAACACAACATGCCAGCAGGGTAGTGCCAGGCATTCCCCTTCACCAGATTCCTTGCAGCAGTTCACAGAGCAATCCACTCAGCTCTCCAGTACTATTCTTTTTGGCCTCAAGATGACAGTCCAAGAAGGATATTCCTCACAGAAGCCAATATTTCTCATAACAACTTCACAGGAATAGTTTTCCAAGTTCCCCTATGAGGAAATGCCCAATTCCAAGATTGCTGTATCCCAACTGGCATCCCACCAGGCATTTAGAGTTCTCTCAGTCCAGGGGCAACTAACCTGTCAGTGGTCATTTTTACCATAAGCAATGTTGTCTGATAGCACAGTTGAAATTTCACTTTTATTAGGTTTTCAAAACCTGGGATCAGTTAAAAATTAACATAAGGTCAAATTCTCATGCAAAGATAATACTTCACCCCTAACTCCCAAATACTTATCTCTAGCCTAAAACCTCAGAATCAACAATTCAAAATCAGAACTCGTCTACTTATAACAAACTCACTTTTTCTCCTTATACTTCTCTTCAATCAACTGATGGCACATCCTTCAGCTAGTCACTGCAGCCAGAAACCTAGGAGTCATCCTTGGTTTTTCATTCTCTTATATTCAATTAACAAGCTTTATTGATTTTTGTCCTAAATATCTTTAAATCTTTTCTTTCCTACCAAAATTGCAAATGCTATTTTTTTTTGCAAAATAACTTAAAATGTCATGCCTTCATGCATTCTGCACACAGAATTCTATTTATCTAGAAGGCAAGTAACATTTTCTGTCACTTGACAAACTCGTCATTTCTAAGACTGATCACTTATCATCACAACTGAATTATTCCCTGACTTACCTACTAACATATGAGTTAATTACACCTTCATTTGAACTATGTCTGCATCTTGTGGTCTAACTTTATCAATGCCCATAATGAATAAATAAGAGACAATTAGTGTTTTTTTTTAATCTCATATGGGAATAATTAAATAACCACAGATCTCACAGCTGGAGAGGACTTAGAAATGATATTGTCCAAACTAAATAGAAACTAAAAAGTCATTTCATAAAGATTACAGAAAACACAGGTGTGTTCTTTCAACTATATGCTGATATCATTAAATTTTCTGATTAATCAATTATAACAAATTAGGTCACTCACTTATTCATTCATTCACTCATTCAGGGGAAAAGAAGAACCAGTTTATTCAACTCTATAATTACTTTTCCTCAATTCTCTTTCTGTTGGCTATTATATGCTTCAAAGGTACAAAAGGAAAGCTACAAAGTTTAAAGCAATTTTACCATTATTTTCAAAAAACAAGTACAATTGCAGTCCACATATAAGTATATAATTCTTTGATAAGAGTGTTTTAAAACTAGATTCAACCGACCCCTTCCTGAAAATAAAAACTTATTTCTAATTTTCATTATATCCTCACTAAATTGTGACAAATACCTAAAGGGCCTACAGGTTTAAACTTAAAACGTCCTTTTCTATAAGCATCATCTATTGCTTCAAGAAGAGCTGGAACATGAGGGCCAAATCTTTTCAGTCGATCAGTTTTACTATCTTTCAATTCTTTCAGTTGTCTCTGATTATAATTGAGTGTATTCCTCAGATCTAATTCTTCTCTCCTAAAAAATAAAAGTAGAAAAACAGAACACATACATGATACTTATACAGAAATATTCAGCCTTTGCCCATAATACCCGCACACCAATGAATCACTGAGATACCCTACACACTAAAAGAACTTTTCACTTGAAAATAGTTGTGTTACCAGAGAAAGATAGTCAGAAGTTCTCAAAACTTGACATGAAAAAGTATGAAGCAACACTGATGAACTAGGAACCCCAGAAATTATTCAACTCTACAAGTGTAAGAGTCTTAGAAAAGTGATTTTTAAAAGATCCTTTATCATGTACAAGAAACAAATAAACCAATATTTTCACCCCTCATATAAAGAGCAAAACAATACGATGCTGAAGTAACTTAAAAAAAATCATTCTAAGGACGTTGCAACTTACTTAATTCTGGTATTTTCTTCTTTGTCCTTTTCTATGGCTTGCTGAAACTGTTCAGTCTCTTGATTGACTGAATTTTCTTGATCCTGTAAGGCCTTTACTCTTTCTCTTAACCAAGATATTTTTTTTTGCCTTTCCAATCGCTCAGGTTCCAAAGATTGATCAGTACTAACAGTAAACAATCCAAAATGAAAAATGTTAAATGAAAAACTTAACATTTAAAAGACACAAACCAATGTAATAAAATTCTACAATACAAAAAATATAAAATTCCACTGTACCTAGATTATATTATAAAATGAGGTAATCATGGAAAGTGCAAAGTAAGTATCCTACCTTTTCTTTAGTTCTTCAATTCTCTTACAAAGCTGCTCATCATCTTTCTTTAATGCTTTATATTCATTTAGGGATCGGTTATATAAAACCTAGCAAAAAATTACAACACATTTTAGTAAAATGAAAAATCAAATGTCTCATTCAAGTCCACTTTTGCCAAATTTTCAAATAAGAGGCTGAATATGTTTTTAAATTAAAGCAGATAATGGCCATTTGAAACCATTACATTTTTAAAGACTGAAAATAATACTGATTTCAACCCAGATACAACACCTCTACTCTTAAAAAGCGATGAATAATTTTTTATTTGCTATGCAGTTTTTAATATTCCAGGTTAGAAAATTTCTCTCACCTCAGCTTCATTATAGGTCCTCTTCTTAGCAGTGACATCTGCTTTCAATGCTATACATTCTGGTGCTCGTGCATCTGTCTCTTGACTAATCTTTTCTAGTTTATCTTGAATATCCTTGTACTTTTTTTCTGCTTCATTAAGTCTGACCTTTAAGAAAATGACATTATTTTCTTAATTAAAAATAACATTTTAATTTTCTTCAATAGACAGAAAAATTAAAAAGTAATTACATATAACTCACATCCCAATAATAAATTTAATTTCACTCAAGACATTAGGTAAGCAAATATAATTATATAAAATGCTACAATATAATTTAATTGTAACCCATATTTAGTTATCTAACAAATTTGCTATCCCCTGGGGATACAAAGATACAATAACAATTGTCTTCAATAACATGATTAAGGGGAGACAGATACAATATAGCAAAAAAAGAAAGATACATAAGCTGATAATACAGTTTGTATGCAATAATGCTTAAGGAGGGTATGCATATTTATAATTGCAGAAGCACAGAGAAAGAAACAATAGGTCTGCCAGAGAAAGTCAGGAATACCTTCAAAGAGGAAGTAGCACTTGAGCTGAGACTTGAAAGATTAATCAAAATGTATAAGGAGATAAGTTAGGGAAAGATCTTAGAGGCAGATGCAAGAGCATATACAAAGGTATTAATATTTATTTCAAAAATTAAAATTATTACTGGAGCTTAAATTTAAAGGATAATAGCAGAAGATGAGATGAAGGGATAGAAAGGGCCTTGTATTTCATAATGAACAGCTTTCCAATTTAATCCTCTAGGCAACAGGGAGACAAGATATGACCAAATCTGTATGTTAGATCACTTTCGAACACTTGCAAAGCTGGGTAGAGGGAAAAATTAAAGAAAAAAATTTCAATAAGAAGTTAACATAACATTGTGGAGCAATATTATAATTAGGGACAAAAAATAATTAGGGACAAAATGGGACACTGACAAAAGGAATGGATTAAGAGGGACAAATATAAGAACTAATTAGATCAGGGGTTAGCAAACTTATTCTATAGTCAGATAATGTTCAGACTTTGTGGACCACATGGTCTCTGTCACAACCACTCAACTCTGCCATCGTAACATGAAAGCACCCAAGGACAATATGCAGAAAACTGATTTTTTATAAAAATTGAAATTGGATTCTGGCATTACACAAACTAGATATAATTCATATATTTTCTATTTTAAGTTAGGTTAACACAAGTTTAAAGTCTGCTTTAGATGCTATTTCTTCAGAAACTTTCCATTCAGTAATCACTCTACAAGCAATAATCAAGCTTACACCATGTGAAAGGCTTCATGTAAGACAGAGGAGAACGATGTATATGTAAGATAATCCTTACCCTTCAGAAATTTGCCATTTACTACACAGTGCCAGAAGCCTTAACTGGAGAAAAATGTCTACTGAACTAAATCTCACCTAGTCTTAAAATCCTCCTTTTCCCATTTGAAAAAGAGGTTAGCATCTATTACTTAGACTGAATTCCATTTTTAGACTGGAAAATGTTTAAGGAGGAAAGTATTTAAGGCCTTCCCCTAAGATAAGCTGAGAAATAAGACTGAGGAGAGAAAAATATTTGGCAAAAATTTAAGAATATTCTATCAGAAATGAAAATTTTAGGTAAGAGAGGTAGGAAGGATTGAACTTCCATTTACTACATAAAGAGGTTGTAAGAAACTCAGCCCATAGATCACTAAGTAAATGTACTATCTTCAGTATTTCTATTATTTTTACATACTCATCTATTACCTTTGATAGATTAATACCATAACTCTTATAAAGAAAAAGACATCGTTGCTTATCTTAGAGGCAGACAGGAAAATGTAAGCTGGGGAAAATTACATCACAACCAAGCTTGGAGGCCGGAAATTTCTAAGCAAAGTAGAACAAAACACTAAGATGTAAGTAAGCCACACTGACATGATGAGCACATGTGGGGTAGAGTGGGGAGGGTGAGAGGGTCCTATAAAGAAAGAAACAGCTAGGAGTTCAATATCTGGCATGACACTGTGAGCAGCTCCACAGTAGTGGCTGCATAACCTTGTGAATATATTAAAACCCACTGAATTGGACACTTTAAATGGGTGAATTGTATGGTATATGAATTACATTTCAATAAATCTGTTCAAAAAAGAAAGAAAAGGTGAGCTTAAAGAGTGGATCTGCTGAATGGTAAAAAGGTCCATGTGTAAACTTCCAACACAGAATGACTACCTTTACTTACCATTCAATCAACTTCTAATTCTAGGTCCATGTGGAAAACTTCTGTGACTTTCTTGAATTTTAGATAAAGTAGTTTCTACCTGGGCTCTGAGATCTCAGGTTGAAATTAACCTTAAGCTTAAAAGACCTAACAACTTATCCCACACATGTGTTCCACCTGTATAAAATCCTCTGACAGGCAATGTTGGTTCTGGGCCCTAAAACTCAGTTCCCTTAAAGTCCGTTAGCAATCTCTGGGCATTGTTTTCAGTTTTGAATTCTTATACTTCCTGATACTTATTGGCTTATCACAGCCAAACACCATACTATTTTTAAAAGAGAGTTGCCACAACAGTCCTTGGAAAAAGCTTACATCTGCCTGACCTGAGTAATAAATTCAAATACAGATAAATATATGGGTTGAAACTTCCACATTTGCAGGTTATAGTCTAATATCAGAAATTTTATATGATTCAACCTACTAAACCTGTATTTAAAAAAACTGTGATTACCTGCTGTTCTTCCATTTTCCTGTCAAGTCTAGCAGCACGATCTTCTCCAATTTTGATATTATCTCTGATGGCATTCAATTGTTTTTCAATTTCATTGACCTAAAAAGAAATTATATAGCAAATCATTAATAAGACTGAAACCAAATAGATTCTGTAAATCACAAATATATGTGAACAGATAATTAAGTAAAAATTACCACTGCCCAGGCCATTTCATGTTTCAAATACTCTAAATTAGTCTTCATTGTACTTAAACCAGCAATATTTTGAAAACGTTCCTCTTTCTCCAAACACTGGCGCTTTAGTTCAGTAAGCCGCTTAAATAATAAAAAAAAAAAGAGTATATTTCTTATTACCATAAAAAAAATTTGCATATGTATTTCTTTTGAACATAATGCATAAGCAAGTACTATGTAAAAGCTTGTTAGGAAATCACTTTTAAAGAAAATAAAAGTATTTTTTGTTCTTTGGTATACTTTTACCAGATGCAATAATTTTGCTAATTTCTACAGTATAGAAATGGCCGAATATTCTTTAGATGAAGAAGAGCAAAGGAATTAAAGATTCAAAACCATATAAGCACAGATGAATCCCAAAACTCACTTTCCCATTTTCTCTCTTTATTCCATATCTGATAGACACAGACTGGTCTGTTCTTCCAAAGCATAATCAGTACCCATTCCAAAGGTAATGAAAGGATCTAAAGAAATTTTATTTCCAAAAATCAAGCGAGTTGCAATTTTTCTTATCTAAGTTCTCTTTTAACAGTTAATAAATAAAACCATCAAGCAAATATTAAATATCATGACATTAGAACAGCTTCTGAAGTAGCTTCTAGACTTCATATTCTGTACACCTAGGTCAACAGTCTCTCCTCTTCAAAATCCACTGATTTTCTATCCAATCTTTTCAACTTTGCTTCCACTTCACTCTCCTCACTGACTCCTTTCCATTATCATGTTTTAATCTCTACTCACTTATCCTTCCAACTTATAAACAAAACCATCACTACCCATCCCTTGGCACCATCACTTCCTCTAAAATTTTTCTTCCCTTTCCATCCAAGTTTCATGAAAATTATTTCTATCTCCTCACACTTTTCAGCCCAACAAATCTGGCCTGCTTTTATCATTACTGAAATTCATCTTGCCATAATCATCTCTGAAGATTACATCACTAAACACAGTGAGTTTGTTGTCAATTCTTATAGTATTTGACCACACAGTACACCTCACAGTCATGACTAATTACTTCCCAAATTCTCTCTTCCCTTAGCTTCTATGATTTCTGTAAGCGTTTCTTACGGCTCAAGCCTAGGCCCATTTTCCCTCTTCTCTTTGCAATATAAGTTATTCATTATTGTGGCTTATATACTAATATACTGATGACTCCTGAATTTTTATTGAGACCAGACTCGACTTCTTAATTCATATATATCCAACTTCTCGTGACATCTCTATTTGGATGCTTTATAAGCACCTCAAAATTAATGTGTTCAAAATGGAATTCATCATTCTTTAAAAAAAAAGAAAGAAAAGAAAGTCTCCTCTTCCCAAGCTTCCCTATCTCAATAAATTTACTCTACTGCTGAGGCAGTTAATCTGGAGGTCTTTCAGTCACCCTTGATGCCTCCTGTCTCAACTTTACCCCTCCATGTCCCACACAACATCTGTCCAAATCATTTCAAAACTCTTCTCTCCCTTACTACTGCCAATACCCTAACTTAAGCCATCATCTCTCTCTGGACAATGTTAATACCTTCTTTATTGATCTCTCTGCATCTGTTCTTTCTTTACAGCAGTTCACTCTCTTCTACAGCAGAGAAATCTATTGAAAATACACATTTAATCAAGTCATTCACTTTCATGTCTTGTATTGCCCTTAAGTTTTACGAGGGCCTCTACAATCTGGCCTCTCATCTCTCTCTCTCGTGTGTTCTTCGGTACAGCCAATCTAGAATTCTTAGTTTTTTAAAAGCACCACACACTGTCCTGCCCCTGAAACTTCAATGATACCATATCTTGGAACACCCTTCCTTATTCTCATCATTCTTTGCCTGGTATTACTCACCCTTCAGTTCTCATCTTAGCCATCACTTCCTTAATAACTCCCCACTGTTGTCACCCTCCTCCCCCACTGCCAGTACCCTATTAAGTGCTTTTGCACAAACCTAGTCTTATAGCTCCTTCAGTAGTGTTCACCTAACTCACATTATTTACCACCTATGTTTCCTGTTAGATAGTTGTGTCTATGACCCCACAAATTCTGCTATTTATTTGCCACTATATGCTAATGGCCAAAATACAATGCTAGTAAGTACATGGTAGAAATTTAATATTTGTTGACAGAATGAATTCTAGTTTCTAACCTTCGTGTCCTATTTCTTAAAGATTTAACTATTCAAACTGAGTTTATTTTCAGAACATAGGACAATTAACTAATTTAAAAAAATGTTCTTATTAAGTGCACATTATGCATCAAGAGCTTTGCTACATGCTATTAGAGAAGTGCTTCTTAAACTGCATAATCAAAATATCTTTAATTGTTGAGGATAAAGTATACCATGGAGAAAATGGGTGTTTAACCCTCAAGTGGTATGAAGCAAACAAATTTCTTCAAAGTCCTGATTTATTACTTTTTTTTGAAGAGTATAGGTATCTATTTGATTATGTTTAATTTATGGCTCTACTTTTTATAATTTGTTCTACTTTAAGTAAACATTAGCGTCAAGAAAGTATGGGACTTTGGGACTGAGGCTAAATATCAAAATAATCCTAGGAAAATTAAATATTTTATTAATTGTATTAGCTACTACAGAGTATTATTGCCTAGTGCTTTTTTTAAAGCTTCAAAAAATAAATATTCAATTTTTTTTTTCCTTTTTGTCTTTTTCCGTGTCCGGCAACGGATCGCAACCCTCAGTGTCACCCCCGTACCGGACCGGGACCGGCAACGGGATCGCAACCCTTGGTGTTGCTCCTGCGCCTCGCTCAGCCAGTGAGCAGGAACCGGTCTGTATGTGGGATCCGAACCCTTGGCGGGAGTGCCGCCGCGCTTCCCAAGCAGCGCACTATAGCAGTGCGCCACCGGGCCGGCCCGTGATTTATTACTTTTAAAATAATAAATGTAACATATACTATGTACGTTTGTTTAAATATGCAAATATTCTTTCCCCAATAACACTGACACTCCAAGATAGTGTGCTGTATTAATTCTGTGGTTTATAGTAGTTCCTTGTATACCACCACAAAACTCAAGTTTGAAAGGACAATTTTGTGAATAAAAATAAATATACTCATCCTTAAATTTGAGTTTTCTCTTAATGCACCACACAACTATAGGCCTAACTTAAAATGTGCATTTCTCAAAAACTTTAACTAAAAAGGCCAGTGTAACATCTAATGAATTTCACTTCAATCAATCATTAGTATAATTCTATCTCAAAAGAACAAGCTAAAAGTTACTGAAAGCTCAACTGGTTGTATAAAACTGACTAAATAAAAAAAACAAGATATGGAATCATGATGGGATTTAATGTGCTGGATAAACAGCTGTAATGTAAGTCAATGAGTTTGAGGTCTCTGGTTTCAGACAGAAGGTTGGATCATCAGGAATCTGAAGAAGAAAGCATAAAAACAAAATATACCCGACGTATAAACAAATTTAAGTAAGTCATGGTTTGTATGAGAGGTTTAAAATTCAAGCATATGTGTACATCTGCTAAGCTGGTGAGTACCGATGTGACAGCTGCTAGCCAGCTACATTGCTTAAGGAATGTTAACATTTTACTAGTGTAATGAAAGAGTCATCTACTGTATGTAATTATAAAATGCATATTATGTTTAATATCAGCTTCAGGATTGTATTATCCCAGCAAAAGAAATGTTAGTTTTTACACAACTTAACAGTAGGAATTAGCGATACCTTATTGTGAAACCAATAAGTCATATACTAAGAGATAAATATTTAAGATACTTGCCTGTCCTCTAGTTTAGTCTAACAGATGAAGTAGGACATATACATACCCATTATTACAAAACAAAGAGGTAAAGGTTAATAAATACTCTAAATATACAAAACATACTTCGTATACTTCAAAGAGTGCTACAAACATGTTATTAGTTTTATATAGATATATAGTTACCAGACTAAAATGTTCATGGAAAGATTCGTATTATCTTTTAATTCTGTTTTTCCATGAACTTTTTGAAATAATCACATGTATAATTTTATAATACCATTTACCTTAAGTACTACAGGAATTTAACTGATTTCAAAAAGATTTACATTAACTGTTTGCAAACCTCTTCTCCTTGATTTATTTGCTCCTTTGTTCTTTCTTTTGTTTCCATAATATATGAATAATCTTCCTTCATCTGTTCAAGTTGGGTTGCTTTCATGAAGAACTAAATCAACAAGAAAAACACAATTAGGAGTTTTGTAAATTTCCACAGAACTGTGAAAAATAAAAAGAAGAATTTGGTCTCTGAAAAATTTTAGACCAATTATGTAAAAAATTATTAAAAACATAATCAAGTGCACATGAACGCAAAAGAGTACATCTTAAGTTGGTACTTGAAAAAGTTCACAGGAAGATTCACATTATCTTTTCATTTTATTTTTCCACAACCTTTCTGAAGTACCCTCCTATTTCAGACTCAAATTTAATGAATATGCTATGTCTTAAACATATACATTTTAAGAGCATTTACAAAAGCTCTTAAAACCCCCTGAAAGAAAACACCTTGGTTGTGATAGTAAAACCATTTTGAAAGCTCATTTCCACTAATTCTTCCATTCTTTAAGCAAAAATGACAGAAAACAGTATCTCTGACCTTAGCACATCTTAAATTTTTAGAACAGGAAATACTAAAACTCATTCAAAGGGCTACATAGTAAGTTTAGTAACAGTCAAATATTTTGTTAGCTATTTAAATTTTTAAAAGCTTAAGGTTTATAAGTTATGAATGTGTGGCCAATTGTTACCTTGTATTTCTTTAAAGATTAATTTTTGAAAATACTAATCCATTCCCTTTCAGAATTAAAAGCCAAAAAGTAAAAATAAGGATCTACCAAAAAAATTATACTCTCTTCTTACTTAATTTCCTAATGCTGTCCTATAATATTACTTTAAATCAGTGACTTTAAGAAAAATAAAATCTCACTCTCTATTTTGTAAGCAAGAATAATGTGAGCAAAAATAATGAATCTAATGTATTCTTTTTGGGTAAGTTTATATTTACTTTGGTGCCCCTTACTTTGTATTTATCTCCCTCATTTTTAGACTGCAAGAACTGCTTGCTCATCTCTTGTGTTAAAACAGAAACAGGGTTATCCACCTGAAACAAACAAACAAATAAAAAATAGTCATTTTTAAATATTTTGCCTTAATGCCTTAAAGATAAATATAACTAAAATATACATTACAATTGACCTATGGTGCCATTAGGAAGGCTAAGCACTAGCCAAAGATTATCCTATTGGGTAAAAATACAAAAAGAAAATGTTAGAAATTTTTAATGCAGGGAAAATGTTTCAAAATTTCATGATACGAGAATAAATACTATGGTCAAAACACAGTATTCTACCATTGCATGAGGGCACAAGCACAAGAACCCTCTGAAGTGTTATTAGAAAGTTTTTCACTTCTTCTACCTGTTTTACAGATTATCACTCCTATGCCACTGATTAATCACAGAACAACAGAGTAGGAAAAGCCTAGCACGGGAGTCAGTTGTCCTGGGTTCTCATTTGGGGTCTGTCCCTAATCTAAGTACAGATTATCACTCCTATGCCACTGATTAATCACAGAACAACAGAGTAGGAAAAGCCTAGCATGGGAGTCAGTTGTCCTGGGTTCTCATTTGGGGTCTGTCCCTAATCTAAGCAGCCTTGGGCAAGTTAGTTAATTTCTCTAACTAAATACAAATTGTCCAACTCAGTTATTTCTAATCAGAGTTATGATAACAAGTATTTTCTTGTAGCAATTTAGATTTCCCACTTGTCTTTATTCCTTCACAAAAAATATTGTAAAACAAATGGAAATAATGAAGTCATTTCTATCTGTTGGAGGAGGAATCATCTCAAACAAACTACTGCTTGAATGAAAGTACCTTTGGCTAACAAGTTAGGACTATCAAAGTACAGATGGAAAAGTGTAAAAAAAATTCAATTTGTTTCAAAAAGATTTAGGGTCACTATTCAATTACGTCTTTGGTACTAATAACAACAAAAAAAGCAATTTAAATGTTAAAAAGTAATCTTATTTATAGGTTATAGATCATATAGGATCAATATAAATCAAATTTTAAATCCTGTCATTTTTACCATCTGTAAAATACAGATTGTGTAACATGCCAGTATAGCAATGGTTAAAACATTTCTTTTAAGTAAAATGATGGGTCCTCTCTTCTAATATAATAAAAAACATTTATGCAGTTATGAAGAAATCTTTACATATTATACTTTTTCCTATTATTCAGACCACACCCTGACTGCCAACGATTTTTTTCAACACCTCCCTAGATCTTAATTTTACACTGCATCTTACTTCCTCAAATTAAGACCTAAGGCACTAGCTTTAACGACAGACATTTTAACACCAGCTTTGGATTAACAGCTTCACCAAAGTTTACGTTCTTTTAATGCTCTTAAATCCTTCTGCAATGGGGTTCCTAGTCCCTAAACTACTCTAGGGATTACTTAAGAGTCTCATAGCTTTACTTGTAGGACCCTGGAACCAGCAAAAGGCAAGAACAAACAGGTAAACTTCAAAGAAGGGATATACGAAGGGGAGGCACAGGAGACAAATGTAAAAAGGTACTCAAAGACATTAAATACTTTCCTTCCCCTCCTGGTTATCTAGACCAGCACTGTTCAATAGAAATTAATCCAAGCCAAACATACAATTTAAAATTTTTTAGTAGTCACATTAACAATATAAAAAGAAACAGGTAAAATTAATTTTAATAATATACTTTTAACCCAATATATTCAGAATATTATCATTTTTAATATATAATAAATATAAAAAACTGAGTTATTCCTTTGTACAAGTCTTCAAAAACCTGGTGTGTATCTCACATTACAGCACATCTCAGTTAGGACTACCCACATTTCAAGGGTTCAATATCTACCTATGGCTACTAGTGGCTACTGCATTGGACAGCACAGCTCTAGACATTTTATTTTGTATTTTGATCAATGAACCTGAACCTCTGGTTATGAGTTAACTAAACCATGCAAGTAGAGGACTTAAGAAGCTATGATGATAATCTTCAAATATTTCAAGGGAGAATAAACATATTTTATATTTCACAAGGAAGTGGGAGCTTAGAGAAATAGACTTCATTCAACTTTCCACATAATAAAAACTTCCTAATAAATACAGCTGTCCACAGAAGAAATAAGCTAAGCCTCAGGCACAGGTGATTTCCTAACTATAGTGGATGCCCTTCAAGATTCTCCACCTACGATTCCACAAACTCTAACTTTCGGTTTTCCTGATTATGTCTAACAAATTGTCCTGTATTCTAGCCTGAAATTTATTTGCTGTATCTGAGTTTCTCAGATCTTAATAACTATCTTTCCTAAACCTGTGCTGCTTGATATTCAAGCCCACTTGCGACATGTGGCTTTTTCTACTTCAGCAAAATTAAATACAATTAAAAATTCAATTTCTCAGTTACACATTTTAAGTGGTCCAGAGCTACACGTGGCTAGTGGCTACCCCACCAGTCAGTACAGCTACAGGACCTTTCTACCATCACAGAAAGTTGTTCTGGATACTTTGTTCTAAACTAAACTAGGAAAGCGATCCAGACTCCTAATTATTCCTTTTCCTTGGTGACTAGCCTTGGTGTTCTTAATCCCGGAACAAGGCAATGTGGCACAATGGATAGATGGAGCACTAGAATAGAACAGGGATGCTTGGATCCCAATCCATGTTCTACCAGTAACAATACATACACAACCTAATGTACAAATTTACTTTTCCTGGCTCCCAGTTTCTCACCTGCAAAATAAAGGGTCTAGATTAGATGACCTAAAAGGACAATTCCAGTGCTAATGTTATAGAAGTATATGAGCTCTGTTTACAATTAATTCAGCCAAAGTATCTTAGCAGACAGGACCCAAGCCTTGTCCCCTACAGGTGTGATCAATAACTCAAAAAAACATAGAGAAATGTTTTATCTTTCTAGAATATATTTTCTTCAAGAATTTAGTAACTGCATTTAGGGAACAATGACGCTATTTTGACTAGGACAGCAGAAAAACAAAAAACTTTACAGCTTTACTAACATAAATTTTAGCACATACCAGTCAGTACAGATTAGATGTCCTTGACTGCTCTATCAAATTAACGGTATTATATATTAAAAATTCATGTTGATTTAGTAAATTTTAAAGAACCTCACTAACAATAGTTACACACATTCTTCCTGTGATCAATTCACTCATGAGACTCTTTCAATTATTTCTACACCACAAGTGAAATCAAACCAAAAAATAAACAGTTGCATGAAATAATCTGAAACACAAATTTAGCAATCACCTGGATGTTAAAATGGTCAAGAATTGCAACCAGCTCTTCTTTCCTAGTAGAAACCACAGTACCTAGTCATGAGAAATATAGGAAATCATTAGATTGTTTCCAGGGCAATAAAACAGAAAAAAATGTACAATTAATTATTTATAAAACATAAAGATTAATTACGTGTCACCAAAAAAGGTACCACTGAATATGCATAAATCGGAATGAACACAGCACGAATACACAGAGGCACAAAAAGTACCCAGATGCAGAATGGTGTTTATCTTCTTCCTATGGCTAAACATCTTATTTTGCTTCTCACTTATCTCTTTTCTTCAATAACTAAACACTCACCTCTCCTTTATGTCCTTTTCTACTTTTTTGTTAACCATCTCTTTCCACATACTATAGAAACTATAGGGGTGAAAGGAGGTCTGTAGGTGAGAACAAAATTACCTAGCCTGTTTAAAAATGACCCCAAATCTGCTAATCATGCCAACCAATCATGTTACAGGAAAGAGGTTTCAAGGGACTAGGAGGAAGTACCCTTTCAATGAATACTGGTACAATCGCTTAACTCTTCTTAAAATTACTTATTAATATTTTATATAAAATGGAAAGAAAATCAGAACAAACCTGTTTTACTTTTTAGTTTATAAGATCGACTTCCATCCATGCTGATGTGTTGCTGCACAGTGATAGAGTCACCATACACATTTGCTCTATATGCATCATCTCCTCTGTTTCTTAATATTATTGAGATATCTGCTGAGCTAAAAAAATGAGGTTAAGGTAATTCACATGAAAGTAGGTACAGTGCAGTTACAATACTAGTTACCAGAATTTCCAAATATTTATAAAACCCCCACATAATTTAGCTAATTTATTTGAAAATTAGCTTCAAATCAGCAGCTGATGGCTAATAATCTACTACAGAATCATGTTAAAGATATCATGCCTAACAAAAAAAATAAAGTTGAAAATGAGTGAAGTTTCATCAAAAAAAAAAAAAAAATGGACTATTTGATATATAATAGAAATACCACATATGCACAAAACTTTTCCATTAAGTTTTAGTTGCTATCATGCCTAACAAAAAAAATAAAGTTGAAAATGAGTGAAGTTTCATCAAAAAAAAAAAAATGGACTATTTGATATATAATAGAAATACCACATATGCACAAAACTTTTCCATTAAGTTTTAGTTGTTTCAAGTCATGTAGATAAGTTATACATTTTCCTGTAGGGACTGTGTAATCAACATTATACTGCCTGATTACTATCAATTACATAATAAAACATCATGCCAAAAGCAGGCCTTTAAAAATGAGGAAGTAAGAATCATGGGAAAGCAATAATATTTTCTAAGAGGATTAGAATTAAGGAAGGTGCTATGGTTTGGATATGGTTTGTTCCCACCAAAACTCATGGTGTAATTTAATTGCCAATATAGCAGGATTGGGAGGTCCTTTAAGAGGTGCTTAGGTCAAGATGGATTTCTCAGGAGACTGGATTAGTTCTCATAGGAATAGATTAGTTTCATGACAGCAGGTTATTATAAAGCATGTCTGCCTCCTTTGTCCCTTCCCTC